TAACAAGTGCAATGGAAATTATTGATAATTTTTGGGAAATTTGCCCGAATGCATTTTTAGTTGAAAAAGAGCACGAGTGCACGTAGTGCACAAGTGCCTTTTTCAGTTGGAAACGCATGAGTGCAAATTTATCGAAAATTATAAATATATTTCCATTGCACGAGTTGTATTTAATGAGAGAATTTCATTAATCAAAAATATAATTTTTTTGTCAAAAAATGTCAAAACACCAGTTTTCGCACCAGTTAGTATGCAATTATCTGATAATTTGCACTAGTGCAAATTATCGCGTAATTCCAATCGGATTGGTTCAAATCAACAATCAAAACATGTCAATTTATTGTTGGAATACCAGTTTTGACAGATGTATGAAATTCTCACGATAATTGCTAGTGGTGTACCTAGACATTGATCTTAGGGGGGAGATAAAAAATAATCATAGCAACAAGAAGCAAATTTTCAATGAACTGTTGGATTAAGCTTTTCATAAAGCAAAATCTAGTCGCCTAGTTTTGTCTGAGTTTAAGTTTTGTTTTTGTTTTGTCGGTTTGGTGGAAAACCGGCATTAGAGCTAATCGGTTGCATAATTCCAAGTGCGTCAAGGCTTGGCGTTTACTTCTCATATCCGGATGGCTACTCAAATAATTGTGCCATAATTTAGTTTCGGCTTTTGCACATCAGGGATAAACAAATCTAAAAGTTCGCCATAGGCATCGCAATCATTTGGTGTTTTTTTTTTTTTTTTCTCCCGTCAGCGAATGCATAAAGCCTTCAAAAATCTGTTTATGATTAGCAAATCTCTCTTCTAACTTACCAATGAAACGATCAATAAATGGAATATGAATGGCATTTCTAACAGTGTGACAGTGACGCAATGACCAAGGTTGCATTTCCAAGGAATAAGAAATCTGAATGGGGGAAATATACAGGGTGTTTGGTACATCGATAAGAAGATTTCAATGAGTGATAGTTATGGTCATTTGGAAGCTATTGGACCATATTTACCCTCATGCAAAGTTTCACCGTTTTTTGAGATATCGCCATTTAAGATATTTTGAATCCATGTATTTTAACACATACCTAACTTTGTGTTTCATATTCTTTGTATCATCCATTCGGTTTTTCTTTCCGTATTTTTCCGAAAGAGTGTACAGTGTGTCCCATTTTGGTTGTCCATAAGGGATAACTCGGTTGCTATCGGAGTTAGAAGGATAAGGTTTCCGGGAGCGTTGGCTACTTTTTTGTTAAACGAAAGATGGCGCCAACAAAATTGTCATCGCTATTTTTGTTTTCCAGATACAAGTTGTTTTCGAAAAAGTTGCATTTTGGGACACACCTTGTATCTCGGTTCTCTCATAGGCGATCGAAAAGGTGACAACAGTTCCTTATAGATATTTTTACATAGCTTCCAGTGGCGTAGTCAGTTTTTTTTCTAGAAGTGATTGTTTTCAAATTATGAACCAAATATACGTTTTTCCAAATGCGACACCCTGTATGATAATAGCTCATTGGATAGCTCTGTTTTTGCTAATTTCAATGATATAAAGTTCAATGGGTTATGAATGAACAATTTTAAAACATTTTGATAAGTAGTAATTTAAATGGCAGGTATGCAGGTAAATATCTAGGTAATGAAGGTAGATCGAACGTTTTTATAGCAAACCTTTGAAAAGGTAGACGCATCATAATAGTTATTTATGCACCTAGGTCAAAAAGTACAGCTTTAACGCCCGCAGCGTGTGTAACAGCCTGAGGCGTTAGCCGAGGGCTGTTTACACGCTGAGGGCGTTAAAGCTCTTTTTGACTAAGGTGCATACAAGATTTTATGCACGATGAGCATGTTATCATTTTGATATTTAAAAAATTATATATTTTCAATTTTGTAATGACATCAATCAAAAATATTTCAAAATATAAATTTTCATCTTTACCGCAATAGGTCCTAAGTTTTTGTTAAATTTAGATCAAGGAAGCAGTTGTTGACAAAAGTATCACGTAACTATTATAGCAACCCAGAACAATACAAACAAATAATTATGTGCTCTGTAGTGTACGCTTAGAGTGTACGTGTATGGTATTCTTATGATGGTAGTGCGTCTGAAAATGGAGCAAAATAGCATGCCCAAGTTTATTCTTGAGGCAGTTGAAGAGGCCAAGAAACATGTATACCTTCAAAGTCCAAAAGACTCTATGAAAAAACATATGAGGACTTTATTTCCTGATGTGCCCAACATAGTGTAAATGAGCAGCCGTACTTTTTAGAAGAAACTCTCCTGGCCTGACATATACATTAATATGAAAAATGCAAAAAAAATAAGCCGTCCACCTTATGGAGCTTTTACTCAATGTTGAAGGCAACAGTTCTTTTGTGTATTTCTGTGGAAAAGGGCCGGTTTTAAAAGTTAAAAACTGTAAAAATTGTATTTTCAATTTCAAAGTAGATTGAATTTTACCATTATTGCTTATTTTATTATTCTTATTAATTGAACTAAAGTTTGTTTTGTTGAAAAAAGTTGGTATTTTTTGGACTAAGCAATAGAAATACAAAAAGTTTAAAAAAAAAATGACGAATTTTTGTTCATTTTTGAAACTTTCAGGCCCGCGGGCATAAAAGGCGCCCTAGGCGTAAAAGTACTACTTCACGCTTTAAAATGCGGGCGTAAAAGTCCACTTTTACGCCCGTTCGTGCATAAACATCATTTTATGCACGAATATTTTTTCTAATAAGCTGTTTATTTCTAATTAGAAGGTAGCTACAAAGTCTGTAGCTATGTTGAAAATATAATTTTCTAAAATAATGAGGTCATCTGTAATTTGGTCATCACAATTAGAAATAAACAGCTTATTAGAAAAAGTGAATTAAATATTATTTTTTTTGGTAAAATTAGTTCTTCAGATATTGAAAATACATATGAAATAAATTAAGGGATTTTAAGTAACGTCGAAAACCGATATATAATTATAGTACCTAGCGTATTTGAAATTTGGTTCATAAAAAATATTATTTGACAAAATTGTATCATAGAGATTAGAGATTCACAGTACTTGCTCACCTTGATAAAAATCCAAGTTGAAAGACTTTGAAGCTTCGCAGCTGAGAAATTCTAGAAGCTTCATTGAAACTATTCACTAGAGATTCGTGAGAAATCTAAGTGGTCTCAGTAGTTGAGATTGGATTGAAATTAACATAGTTATGAGGCAAAATGTGCGCTAATGTCATTTTTCCTATGAGCAAAATGCTAGAGGGATTGGATTGAAAATTTGCAAGTGGAGAGCCGTTTTATTTTTCCTTTGAGGAAAATATTACAGGGCTTGAATTGAAAGATTGCCAATGAAAAGAGAACAGATTGAAAATTGGAAAATAAACTTCATTCAATCTTATACCGGCACCTCAATTAGGTTATACAGGGAATGCCGAAATTTTTGAACAAAACTTGTTAGTAGGTACCGGATTTCCAGGAAATATGCGTTGACTTGTTGACTACACCTGAAGTATTTAGTAGCTAATGAGTTTCCACTTTACAGGCACAGAACAGTAATGAATGCATAATTATTTAGGATAAGTAGGGCGGCAAATTTACTTTTGTAAAAATTTAATTTATTAGGACCGAAATTGACTTCATTTTGGGTCGTGTGCCTACAAAAAAAAAATTTGGATGGATTTTTTTGGCAAGAGATTCCAAACTGGTACTAAAATCAGTTGAAATCGAATCAAATTGCAGTGATTGTTTACACCTTATACATTTTCCTTAGGCAAACATTTTCAATTGGTTAAGACATGAAAATGGAGAAAAATAAATGAAGCATATATTTCAAGCCAAAAGAGGAAAACATATTAAAACAAACTTATACTTACCTTTACCAGTGCAACTGTTTTTTACCTACAAGTATTCCTGAAAAAAATTATTTGTAACCTCTTTAAATTATGACTTGAATTCATAGCAAAACTCAAGTGCATCTTGTTGATTTTTTATCAATGTGCCTAAATAAATTAAAACAAAAAATATTAATCAAATAATCATTTATTTCTTTAATAAATTGCCCAAATAGTAGTCTATATAAAATGATGTTCAACTCAAGAAAAGTCGAAATTTGTTTGCTTACTAGTAGGAAATAACATTCAAGATTTCAAGTTCAAGCAAACAAATATATTTAGTAGTTGATAAAAACCGTAATACAAAAAAATAATCAAAATATAATACAAAATGTATTCAGTCTCAGACAAAAATACATTAAAGATATATGTATAACAAAACTTTCGCAAAAATATGGCGCCTGTCTTCAATAATTAATAATAAGAGGAAAAATCTCACTTTTACACAACAATTAATTTCAACAAAACAATTTGGTAATGGACTAAAAAATCGGAAACAAAATTTCCGATTATTTTTAATAATAATGGCGCTCTCTATAATACAAATTGCACTAGTGATGTAATAATAAAAAATGACGGAAAAATATTTGAAAATAAAGAAATTATAATGGCAAGATTTGGCAGTGCTACACACCAAACTTTGGAGAAAAAAAGTGTGATAAATGTAGCTATATTTTCAAACTTTTTTCCAACAACAAAATACTTAAGTACAACAGAATTATTTATAATAGGATAATTTAAAAGTAAAAATTGGCACATTTTTAACTGAGGTAGTTATGTCATCTGTAAAAGATACCTATAAATTACCTAGCTATAGTCAACAAAACATCATTTTTTAATTAATTTTACAATAATAATAATATACAATAATGACCCACACGATGAACAGTTTCTATAATATTTTATCAAAAAATTTGCGTTGTCCTTAATAATGTGTTTTTATTCTTATTGCATTATTTTTATTACTTTTCTTAAAGAATAAATCTTTTAGGTTTTTCCATTTTCTATAAACTATCAATTTAAATTTTTACACATAAATTTCTAAATTTGTACATTGACAATTAAATTTATAAGTTTTTTAAATCTTGATATATAAATATTTTTAATTCTATTCTTATAACTGAGATTCTTGAGGTATTGCTGTTGATTTAGTATTGTAAAATGAAGACTATTTTTTTTTATGTTGATTGATAAAATTTATTTTTTGAGAAAACAATAATTAGAACCAATTTTTTGACAGAACACAAGTTCATGAAAACACTGTGCTCCAAGACTCAAAAAATAAATTCCAAACAGCAACTGAAAAAAAAAAAAACAGTAAAATAAATATTTTTGAGCAAATATCCTACGGAAAACAATATTGGTCTCTGCTAGTCTCCAATAATCTAAAAAATAATATACAGAAAACAAATTGCAAAAGCTAGCAAAAACCTCATAAAAAAAAAACTTGGATTAAAATATATACAACAGTAATAATAATAGTAAAGTCCCTGATAACATTTAAAAAAATATATATACAAAACGACAGAAACGTCATAATTAACTTCTCATTGCACTAAGTTTTTCCTTTTTCCTGGTATGAGTGTCCTTATGCTTGACCATATGATCCTTCCTGATAAAACCTTTGCCGCAAATGTCACAAGCATAAGGTTTTCTGCCTGTGTGGCAGCACAGATGACGCCTCAAATCGGTTTTGTGATTAAACATTTTCGGGCACATATCACATTTGTGAGGCTTATCGCCTGCATGCTTGCTAGTATGCTCATTGAAGGTCTCTTCATCAGAAAACCTTTTGCCACATCTAGAGCATTTGTAAGGCTTATCACCATTGTGACAAGTCTTGTTGTGTTGGGTCAGATAACAAGGTCTGTTAAAAACCTTATCACAATCGAAACATTTGGTTTTGCTTAGGTCTTCTTCTAAGGATTGACTTGTAGAAGATATGCTAGGGCTGCCTACAGCATTATTAATGCCTGCTTCATAGTTTTCTTTGCCTTCTTCTTCTGTGGTAGCAATAGTTAATTGACCTCGAACTGGCTGCGGTGCTTCTTGTGATATGTATGTGATAGTGTCATCAGTGTTAACAAATGTGGCATCATTGTTGTTATTGCTAGTTGTAGGCGAAAACTGTTGTTGCTGCATTTGTGGCTGTTGTTCTGTTATAATGAGTCCTTCGTCTGTAGAGTTTAGAACGGTCAATTTGTAATCGCTCACATCCTCTTGCTTTATTACCAAGGCTCTCGTAGCATCATTCAGTAATTCGAAAGAGCCGTCTGCGGCAAAATAAGCTGTCATCGAATCAGGGGTTGTTACCAACCCCAAACCCCCCACGTTAGCGTAGCCTCCGCCAAATCTATTACCAGTAATTTGAGAAAAACTTGGCAAAGGCTGATTATCTGGTTGTTGTTGGACTACGTAATTTATTTGTTGGTGTTCACCAATAATATTGAGGTTGCTGGTGGTGATATCCGTAGCCTGCGTAACGTGGGGGGCCGACCCGTTTGGGTACATCTGAAACTGATGGTGGTGCGTAGCTGCCTCCATAGGCATCATATGATGGGACTGCTGAATCATGTTGAAGCTGTGGTGGTTTGTAGCTGGTGTTATCGATAGCAGGCCCCTCGAATCCGGTGGCGAGAGGCCTGCTTCCCCGTTTGGGGGACTTCCGTTGCTCAAACTGGAAAAACCGACTGGATTTTGCATCATCGGAGGTGTATGGTGCATCGTTTGCCGATCATAAGGGCCGTTTGGTGGGTGCTGTAACAATCCTGGCATAGTTCCCAGTCGATTGTCGTAATGAGAATTACTATCCTCATTTTTTGAGTCATTTTGAGGACTATTTGAGTTGTTTCGGTCCTCTTTGGTGGTTGCAGCATCTCTGGCAGGATGATGATGAGCACTGATAGGCATTGTAGCTGGATCAGGCTGACCGCTGGATTTAACAGCATTTTTATGCAAAGTGGTATTGTAGTGCCGCTTTAAATGGCCAGAGCTGGTAAACCATTTATTGCAAGCAGTGCAATTGTAGGTTTTCGGTCTCCGAGCTTCGTTAGATTTCCAGTTGGGGCCTTTACCGTTACCAGTACGTTCGGGAGGCGGAGCAACTGTGGGTTGTTGAGGAGCCTGGGTACTTGTGATAACAGAACTCGTAGCTGCTGGTAAATGCTCGAATGGCCTATATTGTTGTTGGGTCAAATCTGGAGTACTTTGAGACGACGAAACACTATTGTTCATAAAATTTTGATTATCAATTTGATGCGAGTGCATTGTTTCGTTCATATACAAATGATGATCATTTTGGAACATGGCATTAGCTGGTTGAGCATGAGCCGGCCACGTATTCAACATGGCAGATACTGAATGTTGAATGCTGGTTGGATCTCCATTGGTGACTCTTTTGATGCCCTCTTTTGTATCGGCCCAATCAGGATGGACGACTTTGTGTGAATCAAGGTCAAGGATTTCGCTTTGTGAAGTATCTTCTTCTTTAATTTGTGGATGTTCGATAAAGTTAAAATGATTGCTCTGATTGAATTGTTGTCCATTATGGGTCAAATTATTGTGCTCGATTAATTGGGCAGCAGATTCGCATACGTAACCACATTTATCACATTGTTTTGGACTAGGTGATGGGGTTGGTTGTGGTGGGTAAGCGGGACTGACTGAAGGTTTTGGAGGTTCATAATATTGAGCTGGAGGTCTTCCGTAAGGTTGATAACGAAAATTATTCAATTGAATTGTCTTATTGGTAGAATGAAGGTCTTGTTGTTGATAGTTATTGGGGTCCAAGGGAAAAAACTGTTGTTGTTGCTGCTGTTGCTGTGAGTCAGGAAAATTTGAAAATTGATAAGACGATGCAGGTGAGTTGCCTTCACTCTTAATAATAGGAAAGTTTTGATAATTTGGTGAGAAAGCGGAATTATTTTCATTGTTTTGATATGGTGAAGAAGCACTTTGATAACTTTGAGGTGTAGGAGGGTGGCCATAAATAGCCTCAGGGGTATTACGGTGGTAATCAGGACTCTTTTTAGAATGAATATCAGAGCTATCGGAATTATTTGAAATAAACTCACGCTTTATTACTGGACCTTGTTTCGTCATGTTGTTATTTTTCTCTTCGCCACCCTGTTGAGCTTTCACCGCCCACTGTTGCATCAAATTTCCTTCGTGATATTGACGATGAACTTCCAATGATTCTGCCGAATTGAGCGCTAAGCCGCATTCTTTGCACTTGAATTGTTGCTGCTGCTGGTAGGTTTGCTGGATTCCACTAGTACTTGCCATTTAGTATTTTTCACGCACAAAAGTTCGAAAAAATAAAATAAAGTCAAAAAATAAAAATACAACAGTCACTTGAATGTTATCATAACATGACCATTGTTTTTAAGTCCGGTAGTGAATGAGTAAAATAGTTTTTGTCAAGTTCGTTCGAGATTAGAGGCATATCCTCTTGAGAAAATCAACGGAAATAATAAATAAACAATGTTCAAAATTGCACGCGTTTTAGCCCATGGCTATTTATTAGAATTTATTTATTGTAAATATTTAAAAACGTTTTTTTTTTTATTCACTTTGGAAGCGCGCGTACACCAGCACGAACTGTATGGTTCACTTTACACACAGATACTCTCACACTCTTTCTCCGACTACTACTTCTCTCGCTGGACAACCGGCAACTGCTGAACTGACTGATCTGAAGGAGACTGCCGGTCCTTCTCTCTTCTAATTTCGGGGGTCCAACGTGTGCGTGTATAGTTTCGCAACTTCGCATAGGCCGCTATCGGCCAATAGGATGGCCGGAATTAATGTCCAGGGTTGGTGATGGGGATGAGGGCAGAGGGGTGGGGGGTTGTAAGATGCTGCATTTTTGAACATAGACAACTCGCCGGATTATGATGCTTACACTAGCCCTGGGATTAGGGGCTAGGGGGGAACGGTAGAGGGGTAGTGGTTATGAGTTTGCAAAAGAGATATTTGAGGGGGTGGGTGGCTTTTAAATGCGGGTGGTTAGAGATGGGGCTGGAATTTGGATTAAGGTGGAAAAGGTAATTAATAAAACAAACAAGCCTGGCAAATTTATCGTTATAGCTTCATTTTGATGTTTATATATGAATTTTGAACTGGATTATTTTTGATTGGCTTGCTATTTTTTGGTAAAAAAGCACTACAAAAGTTTTTTAGTTTGTTTGGTAAGAAGGTAAGAATGGATTACCTAGTAGTTTACCTGCTTACCGATTCCATAAATCCTAAATCCCAATTCTGGTTAATGAATGGTTATGATATTACCTAATCTAACAATCATTTGTTTTTATTTATTTTTTTAAATATTTTGGCGCAGGAGGCAGGGGCGCGGGGCACCCCCACAAAAACCAGGCACTAATCAATAATTGGTAATTTTTGAACCAATCTGATTTTTTTTTTCCTTATCAAGTTTGGCCCAGTCTCTTATACCAAAGTTTATAGTAACATCTATTTTTTTCTAATCGCTTCGCTTGTAGGTACCTTTTTTCCAAATAAGTACAAACTAGAAAACTTGATAGAAATTGAACGAAATGCTGCTTTCAAAATAAGTTGAAAATCGAATTTTCTACTTGAGAATTATTCGCATGTTGAAGGTCCTAGAACAGGCAGGTAATTTATAAGCTAAAAGAGTTCATCTATAGCCTAAAGAAACTGTAATACACTTACACTGCAGCAAAGGAGAGGGGAAAAGGGCCCAATTCAAGAAATTTTTAAGAAAAAAAATACAATTTCCAACACCCTTTTTTAAGAGGTAGATATCTATAGAAGCTGTGTTTATAGTATATACGATCTCAACTTTATGAAAAGAGCTCAAAGTATTTGAAATTCAAATCAGGAATAACTTTAAGCATTAACTTAAGCATTAAAAAAATTAGTTTTTAGAATTTGAATCTTTAACTAGGATAAACTAGAAGGGCTTCTAACAGAACTGCAGGATGTTCAAAGAGCGCAAATCGAAGAATTAAGAATTAAATGTTCAAGAAAGTGGTTTTTTGTATCTCATGTCATAAAACGATTTCCAATTTCGTATTTTGATTCCTTTGAGAACCTTACGTTCTACAGTTCCTTGAGGGTTTTTTTTCTTGAGAATACGTAGAACCTAAATTTGTTCTATAGAATAGTCAGTTTATCTAGTTTATCTTAATATTCCAACATAAGCTTCGCAAAGAAGTGAAACTTAATCCGAATTCGAATTTCACGTATTTTGAGCCCTTCAAACACAGTACAGTTCAATGAAAAGCCTAATTAGTGCATAAACTGATGTGCTTCAGAAACTGTGACCCACTGGTAGGCTTCAGGCGTTCCCGAAGGTCTCGCCAGTCGGCACCAATTTGAGATCATAACTGTTAACAAAGCTAAAAATTGATTTTTTGGACTCCTAGCCTAGAACACTCAATTTATACACTAATTCTCCTTCTTTAAAAGAACTGTTTCCAAATGGGCCAAATGGCTCAAAGTAGGTACCTACCTAATTAAAATGCGAATTATAATTTTTATAATGAGACTTTGAAAAATAACTTTTTTGAGTTTTTGGTTCTTAAATTGGTTCCGAACTCTTCCGGCGCGCCAAAGAACAGAGCTAGAAAAGTCTAATTTATAAACTGGAGGAACACCAGGAACAGGGTGTTCAAAGAATAAAAAATTGAAGATCTAAAATCTCAAAAAAGTGATTTTTCAAAGTCACCTTAAATGATTCTTGAGTCGAACTTTTTGTGTGCCCCTTGGGCAGACTACGGCCACTTGAAGAACTTGATTGAATGATTGGCTCTAGGACCAGAGGCGTGCCCGAAAAGCTCTTCCCTATTATAATTTTGAGATCCTGAGTCTTCAAAAGTGTTTCGAAAATTGGAGAATTACATTTAAATCTCAAATTATTTATTGGAGTAATCAGTTTCTCCACTAATTAAGCTTTTGATTGAAGAAACGGTAGTGGGCCCAAAATTGATAGGGTGTCCGAAGGGACCATCCAAGAGTCTATCGAGTATGTAGGTATATATGATTCCAATACTGCTATTCAAGGCTCTTTACGCATAACTTATGAGATAACGGGTAAATCCATTACTGGACTAATTACTTACATATAGACATGATTCTTCCAGAAATGTACCTTAAAGAATAAGCCAAAAACGTACTTTAGGAAACATAACATACACATTTTATCACGAAAACATGTTTAAAATGGAACATAACAGAATCTTCTTTGGGTTGATATCCTTGTCAACTGATTATAATAATATACCAAATAGGAAATAGGAAACTAGCTGCGTAGGTAGATACCTACTTATTGTTTCACCCGAGATTTCGCTTCAAGAATGCTAAGTATGATTTTGAATGTTCTGTTCACTACATCTTTTTGTAAAAGTCCTAATGGACCAAATGTTTTAAATCCTATTTTCATTAAAAAAGCTTCCATAATAGAATATTCTACGGATTAGAAAGAATATCCTATGAATATTCTTCAGAAATCCACGTCGGGGAAGTTGGCAACACATTGGAAGCAGAATCTTTAAAATGTACCTCTGCTCGTGCTGCTATATTACTGCTTTGTCCTGCTTCAAACCGCAATCCAGCAACACCTATCGTTTTCGAAATATATCGATTTCCATTTTGGTCGCTATCTTCACCCTTGGAAACACATTGGAAGCAGGATCGCTGAAACAGGTTCCTGCTTGTGCTGCTATGGTCCTGCGTCATCCTGCTTTAAATCACACCCCGAAAACACTATATTTTCGAGATATAGGGATTTCCATTATGGTTGGTAACTTCACCCTTGGCTCGGCAACACACTGGAAGCAAGATCGCTCCAAAATGTTTCTGCTTGCGTTGCTATGATCCTGCTTCAAACTGCTTCAATCACCCCAGCAACACCTAATATTTTTGAGATTAGCACTGGTAGCATTACAATAGCCTAGTCGTATGAATTCGGCGAGCTCGAGACACCGTTGACAAATGGATCGTAATGAATGCTTGTCTCTGTATGCTGGTATTTTCGACGAAAAGATCTTATCCAAACTAACTCAAACTAACCCGCCGTTAATTTTGTAATGAATGCTAGTCTTTGTATGTTGGTATTTTAGACGAGAAGAGCTAATCCAAGCTAACCCGTCCTCATACTAAGTGCTACTTTTTGTATGTTGATATTTTAGACGAAAAGAGCTATTTCAAAGTAACTCGTCTTCATACTAAGTGCTAGTTATTTTATGTCGGTATTTTCGAAGAAAAGAGCTAATCCAAACTAACCTGTCCTTTTGTAATGAATGCTAGTCTTTGTATGTTGGTATTTTAAACACAAAAAGCTAATCCAAGCTAACCCAAACTAACCCATCCTCATACTAATTGCTAGTTTTTTGCTGGTATTTTAGACAAAAAGAGCTTATCCAAACTAACCCGTCTTCGTAATGTATGCTAGTCTTTGCATGGTGGTATTTTGAACGGAAAGAGCTAATCCAAGGATTGAATTGAAACTAACCCTTCCTCCCAATAATGTTTAAAAAAAAGAAGAATAAAAACCCTACGGAAACGCAGAGAGACCACCTATCCCAGGACGGGTTAGTTTCAGTTGAATCCTTGGATTAGCTCTTTTCATCTCAAATGCCAAGATACAGAGGCTCGCATTCATTATAGAGGGATGGGTAGATTTGGATAAGCTCTTTTCGTCTAAAATACCAACATACAGAGACAAGCACTCATTACGATATATTTGGCAGCGGTGCATCGAGCATTCCCTATTCCTACGTCTGGACTCTTGAAATGCTACCAGTGTGTATCTCAAAAATATTAGGTGTTGCTGGGGTGAAAATCGAAGCAGAATGAGCAATAAGGCAGGACCATAGCAACACAAGCAGGAACATGTCTGAGTGATCCTGCTTCCAATGTGTTCCCAAGCCTAGGCTTGAGTTACCAACCATAATGGAAATCCCTATATCTCGATCGAAAATAGTAAATTTTGCCAGGGTGTGATTTAAAGCAGGATGAGGCAGGACCATAGCAACACAAGCAGGAAGATGTTTGAGCGATCCTGTTTCCAGTGTGTTGCCAAGGGTGAAGTTAGCAACCAAAATATAAATCGCTGTATCTCGAAAATAGTACGTGTTGCCGGGGTCATATTTGAAGCAGGATGAGGCAGGACTATAGAAGCACAAGCAGGAACCTGTTTTAGCGATCTTGCTTTCAATGTGTTACCAAGGGCAAAGTTAGCAACCAAAATAAAAATCGCTGTATCTCGAAAATAGTACGTGTTGCCGGGGTCAGATTTGAAGCAGGATGAGGCAGGACCATAGCAGCACAAGCAGGAACATGTTTTAGCGATCCTGCTTCGAATGTGTTGCTCTCTTCCCCGACATCAGAAATCCCTGTAATATCCCCAACCCTAAATTATTCTAACGGTCTTTCTCCAAGTATGTTCAAAGCATATTTCATCGGAAATAACAATAAATACATTCTAAGAACGTTTTACATGAGGTATTAGAATAGGGTTGCTTATAATCTTTAATTAGGAGAAATCTTCAAAATTGTCCAGTCAAATTATGTTTAATTTCCTCAACAAAACTAGTCCCGCAAATTTGGTCATACATCTTTTCTTTCTGTAAAGTTTCATTTGATATCAAAAAATCACTTCCATGAAAGCTAATGATAGATAAAAGAAATTTTGAAATATTTAATGTTTATAATTGATTTCTAAGTTTATTGTTAACCAAAAGATAAGTACCTGCCTGTAATAAGTCCAGGATTAGGGTTACTTCTCATTAATTTAATAGAAAGTAA